GATTTTTCTTTAAAAAAAATCACAGAATTACGTGATGAAATTTCAATAAAGTGCCACCAAACAGATGCCATGTGTCTTCGTTACATACCATTCGTGCATTATGTGGAATTCTGGTAAGGATAAAGAGAAAAAAAAACACCAAGACAATGTCAATTCATTCCTAAGTGAAGGTTGTATATCTTTAGAATTGGATAAAAACGAAATCCAATAAGGGTATCACTCACCCTGTGACAGGTTTCACGAATGTAACGTGACGCCCAATTGAGCAGTATCTAGTCACGAGATAGTAATTCCACTAAAATGTCACGTATATATATATATATACACAATATGGCTTTGTCTCGCGTGTTATCTAGCAATAATAGTTTGGACACACAGAACAGCTGTTTCTGCATAGTTTCTATTTTTGATATGGATAAAAGTGAATGTTTTCCCCTCTCTCTTTCCCCCCATTTCCACTGCATTTCCACAGCAACTGGGATACTGCTACACTAACAAATTCGACTTTTAAATGATATCTACGATTAAAAGGCCTTATAATATACAGGCCTCTTACTAGAAATATGTTATATGATGCTTCATTTTCGTCATACAGGCCACGCTTTAATATAAAATTTACACTGTGTTTGATTGCTTCTAGCCTTTTCTAAAATAGTTCCTGAGCCTTTTATTTACTTATTCAGGCTTTTAACTCTATAGAAAGCCTTCTAGATAATATTTACTTCCATTGTTATATTATATGAGGCTTTATTTTCATCATACAAGCAACGCTCTAATATAAAATTTAGATTGTGTATGGCTGCTTCTAGCCTTTTTAAAATAATTTCCTAAGCCTTTCGATAATTTATACAAGCTTTAAGGCTTACCTAAGCCGAATTATTAATTAAAATAACGTAATAAAACCTTTCCATTCGCTTACAGCACCTATCTAAAATGTAAACAAATCTCGTCATAAAAGGTGTATTTTTCTTGCTTCTAAGGCCCTCTAGGCTTTATTTTATGCGTTAAAATGCTGAAGAGGGGGCCAGAAAGAAGAAATTTGGAGACAAATCGGAGGTTTGAAGCAGCGACGAAGCTATGCAACATTATAGAGATCGTCGTTTAGTTACGAGGCAGTAAGCTGTCCACTTACTAATACTAAAGTTGTAACAACCTTTATTTACGGGGGTCTATATGTCGTCACTCAAAACTACTGCTCTAAAATTTGTTTTACTAGCGATAAAACGGCCACAAATGCCAAGTCAAAGCGAGCGACATCATTGGACAGCGATAAATCCAACAAGGGACAACTGCGATTCACTTCCAGCCTATCACTAGGCACTACCTTGTGAATGTTTAATAACTTCATCTTTATAGCCTCTTTTTACTATTACCGAATGGCGTATTTTGACTATCATGACGTCATAAATCCTAACAGTCGTGTACAGGTGACAAATTTATTAAGTATGCAGCACAAGTACAGCCGCACGCGCGTAATTTAGCTACTTTCCCCCCTTTTTTTTTCCTCTGTATATTTGTATGGTTGCTGCTTTATTGAGTTTATAAAATATATTACACATGTTTTTTCATAAATAAGGCTTTTTAAATAATACTTTTAAGGCTACTTCTGCCTGTTTTTGTCTAATTTTAAACCGGTTTGGCATCCTTAATCGAGAGAGAAGTCTGCGATTTTGATGCTAGTTTAAAGAATTTTACAGACTTTTCTAAAAAAATTAATACAGGTAAAGGTTTATTTAAGGCTAATTAAGGCTCATATAAAAGTTAAAAGGGAGGGATTAAAGATTTAACACGTCCAGTTTGACTAACTCGTCGAACGTTCTGTAAGGGCGCATATAGTGTTATAGTAGCAAAATAAAGGCTCATAAAGGCTTAAAGATTGTTCATTTAGAATTATAGCTTTACTATAAAGAAATTTTAAGTATACTTAAGTTTTTTATATGCTACAATTAATGATAACAGCACGCTAACTTGAGAATTCGAATAGACACAAGAAAGACTGGACCATCTATTTAAGGCTAGTTTAAACACTTTGAAGGATAAATAAATGCATTATTTGCGCGTGTATCATAGCCTTAAATCCTAATCGAGCCTGATTAAATATACAAAAAAAATTCGATCTTTGCTAGATTTTTCAGAGAGGCTTTTCTACTTTTGACATTTATAAAAATTATTAAATAAAAATGAGCCTTTTATATATTCATCTAACTATCTTTCTGTTTAAGCCTGTTAATTAAGGCTTAGTTTACGAGAAAAGCGAGCTAATTCTCGAATTAAAACCAAACAATAAAAGCAGGCTCTATAAACGAGTGAAGGCTAGACAATGATAATAAATCAAGATAGCAAAGAAAAGCTCGTTGAGCCTGATTAAATACACGCCGACTTATCGTTAAAATCCTCCAGTAGATATATATATATAGGCCTATATATAGTTTTTTTTTCTACGTCACAAATTTCGAGAGTGGTTTATATCTAGGAAAGTGAGGGGGAAGGAAGAAATGTTCCTAGTATAAATGAGATGCATGAGCCTTTTCGATGCAATGTGGAGGAAAATGTATAAGAGAAGCATAGGGAAAGTGCTTGGCTTATCGCCAACTTCCAGACCAACGGACATTTGAGAAGGCGATTCACACAACCATGTTTGATGGAAAAGACTAGGGAAGGGGAGGAGAGAGAGAGAGAGGGGGGAAGGGAGAGCCAAAAAAAATCGACTCACAAAGAATTGTAAAGTTATTTTCATTTTTGACTGCACTGATTTTTTTCCCTCCTACTCCTATTGTTGGACTGGAGTTTCTCTAAAGTGAAACTCTATTGTGACAAAAGATAAAAACTACTTACTTCTCTTCTTCCCTACACTATCCTTATTCATTTTCTCTTCTTTTTTTTTGGTGAAAACTTTAATATATTGTTATAAAATTATACTGTTTTAAAAACTATAAATGGGTATGCTAATAGGTGCACACTTTTATTAGGTTTTAGGTATTAAGTTTGGCTTCTCTGAGTCGTAGGCAACCCACCTTGTAAATTGATTGATAAGATAAAAGGCATATGTAAGTAGTCAGTAGGATAAGGCCTATACTTTAGTTTTGAGGAGTAGGCTTGGAGGTGTATAGAGGTTTTAGGGGTGTAGGAGTTGCAGGTGTATACAATGAGTTTTAGAGGTTTTTTTTTTAGAAATGTATACAGAAAGTGTTGGTTGATAGATGTATAGACATTAGAGGTTGTTAGAAGTGTATACAAGAGGTTTTTAGGAGTGTTTACTAAAAGTTTTAGAGGTTTATAGAGGTATAGACATTGGAGGGGTATACAAGAAGTTTTAGAGATTTTTTAGGGGTGTTTACAAGAAGTTTTAGAGGTTTTATAGGGGTGTTTACAAGTTTTAGAGATGTACTGTACCTCTTTAAATGTGTAAAATTGCCTTACTAATTTCTACCTCTAACTTTAGAGATGAAGCTAAAATTGTTCTTATTTTATTAATTTAGGAGATAAGAATGTTATAAGTATTTTTAAACTCAATTTTAGAAGTATAAATACCTCCAGAATCCCTTAAATAACTTTTTACTCTTCACTTTAATTGTATAGTTATCATTTTAAACTCAATAATTAATCTTATACTCGTAATTTTAGAGGTAAAGCTGTTATAAATACCCTTATTCTCGTAATTTTAGAGGAGTAACCACTGTTAAAATTTTATTAATTCTAATTCTATAGCTCTAAATACCAATAGAATTGCTTAGTAAACTTAATTTGACACCTATAATATTGTTCGTACCACTAAATTTAGAAGAGGAGTGTGTAGTAGTACTCTAACTCCTAACTTTCATCCTAAATTATAATATTTTCCAGCTTTATAACTGGAAAATATGGACGTCTAAGTACGAGTTTAGCCTAAAAATTTAGAGGTATACGTTTAAAATATAATAAAATCTCGAGAGGGGATGCAATAACAGGATACTATAAACCGGTTCTAACAATAGAAAAAGTTGGAAAACATCACATTCCATTAAACTACGTTATTCTAAACAGGAGTCTCGATGAAATGTAGGAGTGCCTGATCTTTAGAATTCTAAAAATTGTATAATAAATCTTCCAACCCCCCTTTGAGCTATTTAAAATAAAGTGGCATTAACTTCGAACCCCCCCAAATTCTATTTTGGAACAATTTTCTAAGTCGAATCGCGTGGGAGATCGGTATGTTGGAGTGTGGATCTAAGCATTAATTATACCATTTGGTGGGTGCTAAAAATACACGAGGACCTCTTACGTAAGCCTCGTGGAGGGGGAAGGAAATAAGGTTTAGTGTTTTTAATATATGTTAAAGTAATGAAAGTCTCTAGAACAAGGTGACCCTCGAGTAACTGGGGTTGAAAGGTCTAACACTTTCTCCACGCAGTCTGTCTGTAAGTAATTCGATTCCTTTGCCTATTACTTCTCAACGTAAATCAATGTCAGCTTTGAAGTATCAATAATTTACCAAGTATTTTCTCTGTTTCCGACAACTAGTATCAATCTTTAGGTAAGAGAAAGGGCACACAGCTTATGCGATTTTTGGCATGCGACTAGGGCCTTTTGTATCAATCTCGAGGGGTCACAAATCATGTCATTGGAGAGAAAAATATAACCGCCTTGTTATCTATCTTCCTTTTCTTGTTAAGGCCTTTCTTATCTGTATAAGATTCGGTTAAAGTAGTGTCTATATAGGCTCTTAACCGAACTCGACACGTTTCGTGGACGTAAGATTTCTCACTATGTCCACTTTTGATAATCTTGATAATTGAGTTATATAAATCAGGCTACGTGCCCTTGATTTACTTAAAGAGCCTTAAACAGATAGCTTTATTCATTAGATAAATTAGTTTTTTTATTACAGGCCGAGTATGACGCGCTGATCTTAAATAATGAATATATTGTTTTGAATGTATAAATATAATGGTAATTTTCATCTATAAATTATATTTTATTGTTGATAATTTATTATCTTACCTTTAAAAATGGATATCGTTTGCGCCATTTTGAAGCTTGAGCATCTTCTTCAAATCTCCTGCAAAAATATGAGTTAATGCCTTTTTTTTAACATAATAAAATGTGATTTTAAATTAAATTGAGACGTTGAAATACGTAAAATTACCTTTTTAATCATAGAAATGGGTAAAATTGTAAGAAATTTTGGCTTTATACGCTAAGAAATAGAATATATAACCATTTAAGGCCTTAGAATTAAGCCTGTACATCCGTTTAAGGCCTTAAATTAAACCATTATATTTATCTGAGGCCTTAAACTTAAACTTATATAGTCGTTTGATACCTTAAAATTAAGCTTTTATATCAATTTAAGGCTTTAAATTTAAGCTTTATATGATAAGAAGTCATAGAATAGGAGGAAAAGTATATAATATATTAAGTTTTAATTAAGTGCACGAACTAAATTTCTGGTGGAAAGATAAAACTTGAAAGGTAACCAAAGAAGCTACTGAAGAAAACATTATGACACGAGCCTGAAGTGAATAAATTACAAAGAGAAGAAAAGCGATTAACACACGTCAAGTAGAAAGGGGGGGTCTTGATTTACACAAGCAGCGTGATGAAAAGTAAAAGTTGCACGAAATTGGATCGTGACACTCAGCTAAGGCCAGAATGCATGATGGAATCTCGTGCAGTCACCAAAGAAACAAAATCAGATTAAAAATTATTTATTTTCCGAATGCCAAAAGTAGAGGGGGGAGTGATATTGACAAAAGCCTTCCTCCTCCTGTTCTTCCTCTTCTTCTACTCCTCCTACTCCTTCTTTGATAAAGTTTAGATTGTTGTATAGACAAAAATAAGGGCATTGCCCACCTTCTAACCAGACTAGGCATCGCCCCATATTTAAATTAGGCAGTAAGTCATACCAGGTACCTAATCTCTTGAATTTAAACTAGATCCTTGGCTCGTAAACTATGTTTAAATTATGGCTTTCTATAGGAGTTATCTCTTGTAATGTTTTAGCCTTATTTTAAGGCTTAGTACACTAATTTAAGTTAGTTTTCGCAGGTTGAAACAATCAGCAACACGGCTCTCTCTTACTACTAGGCATCAGAGATAGTGTGGATTTATGGTTAATGTATGTTGTTTAGGGTACATTACTCATTAGACTACAAATAGACGAGTCTTTATCGCCTATAGGCAGCAGCACAGCCTAGTCTATTTTAGTATGACGTGTTGAGGAATGATCTCGGGGTATAAGGTGGTTCTAGATATCAGAGTGGAGGCGATCAATGTGGTAGTAAAATGATTAAACACTCGGTTCGATGGAGCTTATCGGAGGACCAGGAGAAGTGGATGGGTTGCTATGGTTACCAGACAGAGTGATGTCAATGGGGAGCTAGCTAATGTGGGAATTTAGTCCCATGGAAGAACAAACTAAGAATCGATAGCGGATATCAAATCCTGCACTCGTTTGGGAATTGTCCAGGCTTTGAGGCTCAATATAAATCAGGGTTTTAAGTCTACTTCAGCAGGCACATAGTCTATCGATTATTATCTAAATCGCCTTCGTTTTCAGGATAGACTTTTAATATTAAGACACGTTTTTCACCTGATTTTTTTCTCCTGTTTTATGCAGTCTTTGTTAATTATTAAGGCATTAGATCCAGGCTTTTGTAGTGATTCTTACCACTAAATTATTATATTATAACGCCTACAAGTATCCTTCAAAGAATTGCCTTCTTTCTTCTTGTCGATAAAGATGCCACCAAACATTTCTGTATAAAATAAAATAAATTAAAATTAACAGAAAATCTTAATTTTCTACCAAAAAAATAATTATTTTTACTCATAAAATTCGTACAAAGTACAAAAAAAGTAAGCATTAATAACATCAGATGGCGCTAGGGAATACATTAATTTAATTATTTTTTAAATAATTATTTTTAATTTTAAAACCGTAAAAACATTTAATTTCTTAAAAGTATTCAGAATATTAATAATATATAATACTATTTTCCTTGTAATAATACTAGTTTTGTAGTTATGGCACTAAGTGTTGTGTTTTAGGTACAGCATTACAGGCACACCAGTATAAACACAGCATGATAGGTTATCGTGTTATATATGTTGTTAGAAGCTTGATAAGTATCTCTTGTTAGCATGGTACACTGTGGGAGGCATAATAGTTATAATATACTATGTGTGCACCCTACCAGGGGCATAATAGTTATAGGTAGAGTACACCATTAAGGCATCACAAAGCATGGTGTTATAGTTTACAGCATTGTGAGTACTGTATGCCACAATAGAAGTAATACACAACATTAGAGCAGAATCTTCTTGCTCAATATTAAAAAAAAATTAATCAAGTTAATCGTAGGCTTACTTAGAAGACTTTCTTGTAGGCTACTTTATCCCTTATTGCAAGGGTGGTAAGCATCAAATAATAGCAGAAAATATTTCGCACGTGATGCTGACCCCCTTATACTAAGTACTAGTGTATTTAGCATTTTAAAAGGTACAACACGCTTCTAGTTTCCTTTGTATTCGCGTGAAAAACGTACCATCTATGATACACTACAGTACATCAATTTCTTTCTTGTATTATTTATTACTAAAGTAGTATAGTAATAAGTTTGCTTCAAATATATATATATAAGACAATTTACTTCATGAGGTACAAAAAAAAGTCAATTTATTTTTTGATACTACACCAGCAAACCAAATCAATTTCTCTTGATGCCACGGAAGCAAACTACGTTCATTCTCTCTGTATGACGTGGTATTTGTATTGTCTATTTATTTTCGATGCTCTATTCTTGACATTTTATTCCTGATTCCACAATATAACGTTACTGACATGAGTTATGGTTATATTTAGTTGTTTTCTTTGATTTTATAGCTATGTACACTGATATTTTTTTTGGATATTTTAAAGATTATTTTTAATATTTTCTAAAAAAATAAATGTTTTTAAATATTCTTTGGAATTTTTTGAACTGTATTTTTTAACATTATTATTTTGGGGTTTCTCTTTCTCAAGATAGTTCAATTTTGTAGGGTTTTCATCAGATCCTTTCCTTCTAGCTGCCTTTAGATCGAAGTGAACAAACTACAGATGATTTTAATTAAAACCGAAACTATGGATTCAACCGAAAATCCAGATAGCGGGAGCTTCACTTAATTACTCCTTAGTTTAAAGCCTCATATTTATGACGATCCTTCAACTCTCTGCTGTATTTCTCCAGCAAGATAACCGATATGTCGCCAAATTGTCTCCGAGTTTAACCGAGCGTATCCCTCGACTTTTCCATTCGAATACCCCATAATAACCTTTAACCTTATGGAGGAAGTACGCTCGACCCTAAGGGCCCCGACTAACGAAACTGTAACGATTTACTTCACCCTAATTATGTTTTAAAATCTTTTCAATACAAGTGACATTACCATAAGTACGTCCCCCGTAAGACCAATTGGACGAGAAGGGAGTCGCGGGTTCGACCCCTATCCAATGGGAGGGTAACTCGGAGTATGAGTGAGAGTTGGCCCTCCTTCATCTAGGGGAGCATAATGCGATAGGTCAAAGGTCGGGAAACCCCGGGTCGGCATACATAAACTTCGCTCTTGATACATCAGAAATCAAATAAACACACCGAGGGAGGCATACTTATCTAAATTATGCCATGAATTAAGTTTTTAGTTCAATTGGTATGTACTTTTATAGCATATTTTTAAATTTAAGTGTTTAGTTAAGTAAATTTTTTTCTATGTTTTATAGAGGATATTATGGGGTTAAGTTTAATTAAATTAAAATATAACTAAACATGCCAGTGTTTGAACGATATGTCTATTAATCTCAATGCTCATAATAGTGACAAATAGTGTGCCAAGACTTCCGATGCACGTGTTACGCCGATGAGAAATCGTGAGCTTACTACTCTCAGTAGTAAGGAACCATAAGACAAATTCCTCTGTTAACTCCATTATTGATAGTAGTAAACCCCGATTTCTCATGATTTCTAGTACTTTTAGTAGACTCCAATACATTAGATTGAAGAATGTGAGGTTTCGAGGTTGCACGTTTAGCATTAAAAAATGTTCTATAGACTCATTAATTCTCATATTTATTGGGGGTTTTGTAGATAAGGAAGTTTTTTCATAGGGGTTTCTGTAGATGATAACGTTATTTACAGAGGTTTCGGTGGATAATCAGGTTTTACATAGGAGTTTCTATAGATAATAAGGTTTATATAAGGGGTTTAAGTAGATAATAAGGTTCTTAATAGGAATTTGTTATACATAATCAGATTTTTATACATAAATATAGGAGTTTCTGTCGATTAGAAAACTTTTAATATTAGAATAAGGTTTTTTTTACAGGAGTTTCTTTAGATAATCCTCTTTTACATAGGAATCTCTATATATAATAAGATTTTTATAAGGGATTTCGGTAGATAACAAGGTTTTCCATAGAAATACAAAAAATTATATGATTTTCTTAAACTTTTAATTAATTAAATCATATTTTACACTTCAATTATTGACCACTTTAGTAATACAGTACACACCCCAATCACCTTTCTCTTCGAACGTTCTTGAAACCACTAAATGTAATAATATTTAATTATAATTAAATAAATTAAAATAAAGAAATAAAACGCATTTTCATTGATTAAATGAGCCCATAAAAATTTAGAGCGATGAAACTAAAATAAAACTAATCCCCATTGTTAACTTTAAACTCCGTTAACAGATGGCGCTAAGTGTTATGGCTTATCTAGGTTAATTTTTTCAAATGAGCTAGGGGCTAAAGTTCGACTTCATGCCTGAACTTAGCCCATATTTTATCTTTAATTTGATTTAATTTCTAAAAAATAAATTATATTTATTTTGTTTTTTATTTAGAAATTAGAGGTTTACAAAAATTTTTTAAATATTTGTTTCTCTAAAATATCTGAGTTTTTAGAAGTCTGAAAAAGTCTTCAGGATTGGGAGGACTTTCAATTATTTTTTTCATATCTGGTAGTTGTATAATTTGAAAAGCTTAAAGGATTTTATGGTTAAAAAAAAAACACTAAGGTTTTACAAGATTTGAAGGTTTTGTTTTCAACCCAAAAAAACATACTCAGATCTTTGAAGTTTTCATTATTTTTAATTCAAAAAACATAAGATCTTCGAGGCTTTCAGGATTTTTAACCCCAAAACCACCAATATCTCTCAGGCTTTCATGATTTTTAACCCAAAAAACACCAAGCTCTCTGGGTCTTTTATGATTTTTAATTCAAAAACCACCAAGATCTTTAAGGCTTTCATGATTTTTAACCCAAAAACTACTAAGATCTTTGAGTCTTTTATGATTTTTAATTCAAAAACCACCAAGATCTTTGAGGCTTTCAGGATTTTTAACCAAAAAAACCCCTAGATCTCTGAGGCTTTCATGATTTTTAACCCAAAAACTACTAAGATCTTTGAGGCTTTTAGGATTTTTAACCCAAAAACTACTAAGATCTTTGAGGCTTTCATGATTTTTAACCCAAAAACACCTAGATCTCTGAGGCTTTCATGATTTTTAACTCAAAAACCACCAAGATCTCTGAGGCTTTCAATATTTTTCATTCTAAAAACAATAAGGTTGTAGAAGAATAGAAGGATTTTAAAATTCAAAAACAGTTAAATCATAATGTTTTTTAAATTTAAAAAAAAAACTTGAAAAGCTCTTGGTGTTTTTTAAAATTCGATTGAGTGTTTTTAGTGTTTTCTTTTTTTTTTCATTTCATCGAGTGAGATTTCTTTCCTCCAAAACACACTTTAATACAGGATTTCTGAGTCATAAAATCTATAGAAATTCAAAGTATTTAGAGTATAAAGAATTTCAGAGATTATGAGCCTTTGAATATATTCTAGAACTTTAGAATCTTTGATGTTTTATTGTGATTTGTGAATAATGTTATCCATAGAATGTTTAGTGTTCGTGGTATAAAAACTCTACAACCTTAGAACTTTTTGTGTTCTAAGAAAGGATAGAACATTTGATAAGTTCTAAAGCACTAAATCCACTGAAAATTTCACATTTCTGTATGGAAATATCATTAATTATTTTTAGATACTTCAATGTCACAAGTGGCTTACGTTCACGTGCAAGAAATTATTCGATTTGACTGTAACATAATCAGGCTTTTAAGGTACTTCAAACCTTTCAAACCAAGTAAGGACCTTTACTAACTTATTTGCCCCCTTTTTTTTTTATTTTGGTAGAAGTACATTTAAACTTTCACTCTACAACTTCGCGTCTATCTAACGTAGTTATGAGGTCAATTTATAGTTCTTGAGGGAATCTAGAGGTTCCTAGAGACTCTTTAATGAGAAAATTGGACCACTTGTCACTCTACGTAAGGCATGGATATCCATTGAAAAAAGGGGCACAGTAACTCTGTAAAGAATTTGTAACCTTTGTAACTAATTTTAAGGCTTGGTAAAGGTTACAAGGCTTTATTTTATAAGTTCATTCTCTAGCCTTTGAAAAGGCTTAGAGACTGTAGCGAGAATTTCTTTTATAAGCGTATTTATAATTAATTTTAAAGGTTCGTAAAGGTCGCAAGGCTTTATTATAAGAGTGAATTATTTGTAGCCTTTAAACTTAGTTCAAGCCTGATTTTTTTTATAATTGTAGCCTTCGATATAATTTTTATTATAGAAATTATAGCCTTATTTAAGGATCTACGTAGACAGAAAGTCTTAAATATTTTCCAGGCCTACAAGCATGATATTCTTTAACGCTGTTTTAAGGCTTCGTATATAAAAAGTATAGATTTTAAGGCTCAGAGAACATAGAAAATTTTATTTTAAAATTTATAGTTTCTAAATTTTAAGGCTTTATAAACATGAAACAGCTGTAAAGGCTTAAATATTGAAACTGTTTAGCCTATTTGAGCCTTACAAAAATAGAATTTGTAGCCTTAAATCTTCATGAAATTAGGAAATCCCTAAAGAATTCGTATTAACTATGGTAGAGTTTGGAGTCTTTAAAGTTAATTTTAAACCTCTTTAAGCAAAAATACTAGCCTTTAAGGCTATTTATTGCATGAAGCTAACACAGAGAAGCCTTAATTACATTTTAAGCTTGCTCGATTTGTATTTTTTAAACAATTTTGGGACAAAAAACAGGAAAAAAACGGATGCAGTTTCTAATTAGGGGATGAATAAACACGAAAAAATGGGCATAAATATGTGAAATTGTGGAATGAAATCGCGAGTAAGAGATGAAATTAAACTGCCGTGACGTTTTTATTGCCAAATATTCGAAATATTTAAATACAAATCGATAAAATTGGCGGTTTTTTAAACATTTTTCTGTAAGGAACCTCACTTTTAAATTGTAAGAGGATCAGCAAAATCACTCTGACCTTCTCCTCACATTATTTACATTTCCCGGAAAAGTATGAAGATTAGAGTGCTCTGTGCATGCTCAAACTACTGTGTGACGTCAGGAAAGTTCGTGTACATGTTCCGAAAATACCGTTACATCAGTAGGACCTTCTAAGAGGTAAAAATCCTTGCTTCATCCCCCAATAACGATCTCCCCCTTTCCTACTAATAATAGGAGCCTGCAAGGTTAACACACGCCCAAGCCTGAATTTTTAAGGATGGAAACTCCTCCTAGAAGAACCGGAAATTAGGGAAGAATGTAACAAAAGGGATGCCAGTAGTAAGGGTGGTTTCGTGGGGTTAGGGGATTTTTTTTTTGCAGAGGAATTTTTCCGAGATTAAGTTAGTTTAAAAAGTGTAGAAGGGCATTTAGACCCCAGAAATGGGGGAGGAATGGCAGATTTTATCGCCTTCCGGTCGAGGCCAACATATGTGTCAGGCTCCTCCAACGAGAGAGCGAAGAGGAGCAACTTGACACCGCAGATGTCTAGAGCACGTGCTCTTAGGGAGGGGAGTAAACGTTCTTTTTCTACCCGAAAAATCTCATCCTTATCACCCTATTGGTTACGTTTCTCACGTGACGCTCAGACAACCCGAAAGTTTGCTTAAACGTCACGAAAAAACCCTACACGCAAGTCGTGAAGAGAATAAGGCAGAGCTCGACTACAACAGGAGTAAGTACGTCAGTAACTACACTACTACTACTACTACTACAGTTACAACTACTACTGTTTTAAATTTATAGTCAATTATAAGTGACCTAGCGAGGGTGGCGCAGGCCCAGTCAAAACAAGCGATGCGATCGTAAATAAGATTTAATGCGGCGATAAAGTCGGTTACGACTTTTCTCTCGCTCTCTCTCTCTCTCTCTCTCTCTCCACCCCTTCCTCCGATCCCCCCGCTTACGTTTACTACTACGGTAGCACGTGTTGCGCTGCGCACACCACGTGCTTACTTTACTTACCTTACTTCTCAACCCCCTCGGGCGCCGGTGCCACTTGTTTTTTTTTTGGGGGTGGGGCACGGGCAAAACGTTTTACGACACCCTGACGCAATTGCTTTATTACTTGCAGGCTTTTAACTAACGCAAACAGGTCGGGAGTGCGTGCGGTTGCCTGTCTGTTCGTGTACGAGACGTAATGCTACTCGAATTTACTAAAGGCATTAAACGTTAAATGCGGGATATTAGAAGTTATAAACAGAAGAGAAATATTTATAAGGGGGAAAAACGATTTTATCGCGTGTTTTTTGTAAGATTTAGGTGCCAAAATCAAATAATTTTTTAAAATTTTTGTTGCTCCATTTCGGGTCAAAAGGTCGTCCTAATTATTTTAAACGTTGTCAAGTCGGTTTTTTTCCGTTTAATTTTAGCGCTTTTTTAAACGTTTTTCTTAGTTTTTAACCCCCAAAAATCTGTATTANCAACTGTTTAGCCTATTTGAGCCTTACAAAAATAGAATTTGTAGCCTTAAATCTTCATGAAATTAGGAAATCCCTAAAGAATTCGTATTAACTATGGTAGAGTTTGGAGTCTTTAAAGTTAATTTTAAACCTCTTTAAGCAAAAATACTAGCCTTTAAGGCTATTTATTGCATGAAGCTAACACAGAGAAGCCTTAATTACATTTTAAGCTTGCTCGATTTGTATTTTTTAAACAATTTTGGGACAAAAAACAGGAAAAAAACGGATGCAGTTTCTAATTAGGGGATGAATAAACACGAAAAAATGGGCATAAATATGTGAAATTGTGGAATGAAATCGCGAGTAAGAGATGAAATTAAACTGCCGTGACGTTTTTATTGCCAAATATTCGAAATATTTAAATACAAATCGATAAAATTGGCGGTTTTTTAAACATTTTTCTGTAAGGAACCTCACTTTTAAATTGTAAGAGGATCAGCAAAATCACTCTGACCTTCTCCTCACATTATTTACATTTCCCGGAAAAGTATGAAGATTAGAGTGCTCTGTGCATGCTCAAACTACTGTGTGACGTCAGGAAAGTTCGTGTACATGTTCCGAAAATACCGTTACATCAGTAGGACCTTCTAAGAGGTAAAAATCCTTGCTTCATCCCCCAATAACGATCTCCCCCTTTCCTACTAATAATAGGAGCCTGCAAGGTTAACACACGCCCAAGCCTGAATTTTTAAGGATGGAAACTCCTCCTAGAAGAACCGGAAATTAGGGAAGAATGTAACAAAAGGGATGCCAGTAGTAAGGGTGGTTTCGTGGGGTTAGGGGATTTTTTTTTTGCAGAGGAATTTTTCCGAGATTAAGTTAGTTTAAAAAGTGTAGAAGGGCATTTAGACCCCAGAAATGGGGGAGGAATGGCAGATTTTATCGCCTTCCGGTCGAGGCCAACATATGTGTCAGGCTCCTCCAACGAGAGAGCGAAGAGGAGCAACTTGACACCGCAGATGTCTAGAGCACGTGCTCTTAGGGAGGGGAGTAAACGTTCTTTTTCTACCCGAAAAATCTCATCCTTATCACCCTATTGGTTACGTTTCTCACGTGACGCTCAGACAACCCGAAAGTTTGCTTAAACGTCACGAAAAAACCCTACACGCAAGTCGTGAAGAGAATAAGGCAGAGCTCGACTACAACAGGAGTAAGTACGTCAGTAACTACACTACTACTACTACTACTACAGTTACAACTACTACTGTTTTAAATTTATAGTCAATTATAAGTGACCTAGCGAGGGTGGCGCAGGCCCAGTCAAAACAAGCGATGCGATCGTAAATAAGATTTAATGCGGCGATAAAGTCGGTTACGACTTTTCTCTCGCTCTCTCTCTCTCTCTCTCTCTCTCTCTCCACCCCTTCCTCCGATCCCCCCCGCTTACGTTTACTACTACGGTAGCACGTGTTGCGCTGCGCACACCACGTGCTTACTTTACTTACCTTACTTCTCAACCCCCTCGGGCGCCGGTGCCACTTGTTTTTTTTTTGGGGTGGGGCACGGGCAAAACGTTTTACGACACCCTGACGCAATTGCTTTATTACTTGCAGGCTTTTAACTAACGCAAACAGGTCGGGAGTGCGTGCGGTTGCCTGTCTGTTCGTGTACGAGACGTAATGCTACTCGAATTTACTAAAGGCATTAAACGTTAAATGCGGGATATTAGAAGTTATAAACAGAAGAGAAATATTTATAAGGGGGAAAAACGATTTTATCGCGTGTTTTTTGTAAGATTTAGGTGCCAAAATCAAATAATTTTTTAAAATTTTTGTTGCTCCATTTCGGGTCAAAAGGTCGTCCTAATTATTTTAAACGTTGTCAAGTCGGTTTTTTTTCCGTTTAATTTTAGCGCTTTTTTATACGTTTTTCTTAGTTTTTAACCGCCAAAAATCTGTATTATTTGTTTGTAACTCCTTGATAATCGATTTTTTTCCGTTATAAACTCGATTTCTCTTGTTAAACTGATTAAAAATCGATTACATTCGTTAGAAACTGATTAAAAATCGATTACTTTCGTGAGAAACTGATTAAAAATCGATTTCTTTCGTTAGAAACTGATTAAAAATCGATTTCTATTGTTAGAAACTGATAAAAAATCGATTACTTTCGTTAGAAACTGATAAAAAATCGATTTCTTTCGTTAGAAACTGATTAAAAATCGATTTCTTTCGTTAGAAACTGATTAAAAATCGATTTTTCTCATTAGAAACTGATTAAAAAGCGATTTTTTCCGTTAGAAATCCTTTAAAATCACTTTATTACTTTGTAAACACCCTTAAAAATCGATTTTAGAGCTTAGATTTTTAATAATTCCACCTTAAACACGATTAAAAGAGTAATAATTGGGTTTGTGAACCAAGTCATTAGTTAGATTTATTGCTTTTTGAGTTTTTTTTAATGCATGATTAAACGTTGAAGAAACTCGTGTAGAAGAAAATGATCTCATTTTTTTTCTAAATTTCGACCATGTAAACCGATGTTAAGTGTTTAATTATGTTTTAATATTATAAATTTTGTTAAGTCTTTAACTATATAATACATTTTTAAGTTGATAGATTCATTCATAAGGGAGTGAGAGTGGAAATTTAGTAGAAACTCTCGTGTTTCTGGTATTAAAAATTAATGAATACCTTAAATGTTCTGGCGAATTTCCTATTTTCTGTAGCCTAATTCTTAAATTTGATTTGATATTTTAAGCTTTCCCGTCACGCGATTTTGATATCTTAACTTTTGGATACTTCAAAGTCATGCCTTAAGTCATTATTATGCCTTTATGTCTGTTATACTGCATTTACATCTCTTATAATGTGTGTTATACTGTCATTATGGCTTTTAATACCTCTTATTAAACCTTATACTGTATCATTATTATGCATTTATATACCTCAATGTCATGCCTTATGCTTTTATACCTCATAATGTGCCTTACACTATCATTATGCCTTTTATACATCTCATATCATACCTTACACTATCATTATGTCTTCTATACACCTCATATCGTGCCTTACACTATTATTATGCCTTCTATACGCCTCATATCATGCCTTACACTATCATTATGCCTCTATACACCTCATATAATGCCTTATACTATTACTATACCTATAATGTTTACTATAAGCTATTTAAATTGATACCTTTATACTTAAGTCTTAACATACAATTTTCTTCATTTTTAAACACTATTTAAAGCTGTAAATAATGAGTTTAAACTTGTCTATCAAGAAAACATTACTCTTACCTGTTTTAAGGAAGAAAATGGATGATGATCACCATCCAAACCCTCGTTTTTGGCACTTTTCTCACTCACCAACACCTGGAAGGTCAGGAAACACACTCATGAGGCTACTTTTACTGTTACTGTTACTTAATGACCCGTCCCGCTTGTTCCACTCCAGTCACTGTTTTGTTACGAACACTTCTTACGCAACTGGACTTTTTTTTGGACGAGTTTCAGTGTTTTAGGACCCTCTAAATTTGATAAATTAACGTTATTTCTCTTCCTGACAATTTTAACTTATAGATTACTCACTGCCATCACTTGTATGCTCCTTCAAGAATAGTTGCAGCAGTTTACAACTTTCACACCTCTCTGCTTTTATAACTTGATAAATATTCTATAATTTACCTTTAAAATAACGCTCAGGAGTGCTTATAGACATTTTATAAATGTATTTTTTTTCTTTTGTTTATGGGTCCTTAATGGAGTAGAGAGTCTTGTAGTATAGCATAATGGGCAAGTTAAAGTCGGTGACTTAGACAGGGAGTTGCCTAATTAGTTTTATTATGCCACAGGAAACTTTTATAGCAGCTTTTAACCTTGAAGAAAACACACCAGACGAAGCTCTTGTATAGTTTTAGTTCAAGAATTTTGTCATAAAATAACCCAGGAAGCTCAAAAAATCGTCTAAGCTTTAAACAATAGAATTTCACGTGTTTTGCTTATATTTTTGCACTTTTAACCTCATCTTATGTGTCTTAATCTCACTTTTAACGTAGTTTTTGTGTGTTTTAACACCATTTTTATGTATTTATATGCCATATTAATGTGTGCAGAACAATTATCTGTGTTTTAATATCATCTTTGCTCAATTTTTATGTGTTTTTTTTCATCCTACGACGCCATTTTTACCTGTTTTAATGCGATTTTCTTAGTTTCATGACCCCCCCAAAATTCTTATAAAATTTGATATTATTTTCATTTTAAAGATATTAATTATAATTTCTTTTTGTGAATTTTTAGGTAGAGGAATGTGAAACCGTCATTCAGTTAACGGTTCCGTTGCGCGTGCAATTAGGAACCACAAAGTTAGAAAGTCGAGCATGAGCTCCTACTTTACTAACTCCACTTACCTCCCGGATATACGAAACAATCACAATGGAGAACATTATAATAATCAAGGACAACAGCCTACAACTGGAGAACCCTGCGATCAAACTCAAAGACAGTACCTTCAACCCCAATACGCATCATCTCCAGCTCAAGGTGCTACATACCCACGTTTCCCACCTTACGATCGATTAGAAATTAGGCCCATCGCCGCCAACCCGGGATCCCCGAGCCCACCTGGTCAATATTATGGTAACCATTGTGGACAACAGCCACCTTCTCATCCTCAGCAGCAGCCACAACAACAACAACACGCACCACTCAATCATCCCAATGCCTATGTGCCGCAGGATGGTGGACAAAATTGTCGTGGATCACCCAACGGTCACGTTTCCTCCAATCAACAGTATTCTAGTTGCAAATTACAGGGGCAACAACCCCATCCTCAACCACAGATGCAAGACTGTGGTCCCCCTGCACCTCCTCCTCATATGCCGTGTCAGAATCCCACGGGGCAGCAAAATATGTATAATGCACCTAATCATATGCACCAATCCAATCAACCAAACCAACTACACACGCAGACTTCGAGTACAATGCCTAGTCCTTTGTATCCATGGATGAGAAGTCAATTTGGTAAGTTGCAATGTGAAGATCTACCAATTTTTATTAGGATAAGACGTGGTCTTGACGTGTTTTCGGACCAAAAAGTGCTCACAAATCTTCATTTTTCGTGTTGCTAAATGTACGGACGGGAATATAACACGTTTCTTGTGATTATACAAGCGATTTTAACTGTAAATTACTTTTCTAATGCCTCACAACAGGCCTTTCTGATGTGATCCCACACTACAACAATACAATAATTTGCTACTTAAGTGGCCTAAAATCAATTCTGTATGCTAAATAAGGATAGAATTAATTACAATAACAGCATTTATAAGTGTACACAAAGGGCCTTAAGGCCTCCGTCAAACAATTTAAACCTAATTCGTATATCCCTTGCTGTAGAAGGTAAATTAATTTATTAAGTTATTTAGAGCCTTTTCTATAAAATACATACCTTATTTTACTTTATTTACAGGGCCTAGTACTTTAAAATTTTATAAAAATCGCCTTTTTTAGGGCCTTTCATGTTTACAATCGCGTTAAACATGTACAAATTTTGTACGAAATGTTTTATTTTAACGCCCATTTTTTCACGAGTGAAAAGCGTAAATTATTAAGGCCTTTATATATATATATATAACTTACAGAAGGCCCTTCGATTAGGGTCGATTGTAAAAACGAGTTAAGAGGTTTTTCTAGTTTTTTAAGGTAAAATTCCTCTAAAAAACACCGATTTTGCTAATGAAAATGGAGTCAGAAAGCCTCAACAGTTGGTGATTTCGTGCGAAATTTCCTCTGAAAATGGAGGAGAAAATAAAAATTTTAGTTTATTATTTTTTCTCTTGAATTTTGCTTCCTGTTTCTTCTTGAAAGAGTTCACTGTACTTAAAAAAATGAATGATTAATAACAGAAGTCTACGTTTACATGACTTTTGACCCCACAAAGAAAGTGGATAGATCGACTCCATTTTGGAATTCTTTCGTGGGATCTTACGTAAGACTTTTTCTCAACTTTGACCTTCCTATTTTGATAAAATTATGCAAAATAATGCTTCATTTCTCGATTTTTCTGCCTCAAACACACTTAACACTTCGTTTTATCCAAGGTTTTAGGGCCTTTCTAGGGAGCTAAATGCGTGTTTTTACTCATTTAGAGGTGTTTAATACATGATTTTGCTCGATTTATTAGTGTTTGAGGCCTTATATAGAAAATACAAGCGTAATTTTGCTCACTATCATAAATTTTTAGGGCTTATATAGGGGTTAAATGCATGCTTTTCCCACCATAAAAGATCTATTCTTAACTCCCATTCATGGATACTTTCTTGATTCTATCAAACAGTTAGGTGTTTATATAAGAATAAATGTGTCCGTTTAAGAGGCCTTTTATAATTTAATTTATAAATAAAAGTATTTCTCTGATTATTAGCGAATTTCTATAATAAAAGTTCTCTTAAATCTTACTAGGCCCTAATAATGAGAGCAGAAAAAGCTCCTTATACGATACAAATTTAGGAGGCCTCTAACTGCATTTATCGCATTATAGGCCCTCTTAAGAGTAGCAGAGATCGTTACCATTTGGGGTCAGTATTTACCACTTTAAGGGCCCTCTAAATCATCTACAGGCCTAATAATAAGAGTGGAATAAGCTCCATATATGATAGCACTTTATGAAAGTTTAGGAGGCCTCACAAGACATCGTTATGCCCTGTTAGAAGTGGTAGAGATTGCTACCGTTTTGGGCTTAGTATTCGCCACTTTGTGGGCCCACTAAATCATCTACAGGGTCAATAATAAGAACAGAATCATCTCCATTACTTAAACGTTATAGATTGTCTTTCTAGTATTTTAAATTCCCTTCTACCTATGATTAAAGTGTTGTAATCATATGTAGAAGATTAGAGGGTCCTTTTAAATTGAATTTTTGGTAATAAATTTAATTTATAGGCATATTAAATTAGATCATATTCGTGACTAGAGACGATAAGAAGAGGAAAATAAGTGGAAACATTCAATCAAAAAACTAAAAAATAAAGTATCAAAAATTTTAAGTGGAGTGAAATTTAGAAAGTTCCTAACGCTCTTATTGTTTGTAGAAAAGGGGGAGGACAATTACATTAAGATATAGAAGAGAGGAGCCATTTAATTAAAAGGATCCTTTCAAATTAATTTCGTTGGTTTGCTCATTGGGGAGAGAGAGAGTGAGAGAAGAGAAAGAAAGTGAATGTGGACGTCTGGCAGAATTCCCAAAAGTTTCTCAGCTGTTTAAGTCATCCGCAAGACATCACACGAAATTCCTTCGCTGGGTTAAAAGTTTGCACAACTACTTGACATAAATTATCTTGGTTTTGCCTTCTTACAAAATGGAAAAATGTGCAACCACATTTTCTTTTCGCTCCGGTTTCTTCCCATCTTTCCATCCCCCTTTTGATGGATTGTGCGCTCCTAAATAAAGGAAAATATGCATTAAATTAACACGAGACGTGTCCTTTTGTCTCTTGTATATTTTAAGCTTTATAGGGCCTCGCTAGGCCTCAATTTTTACATTTCTTTTCGCTTTGATCCCTTCCTATCTTTCACATCTTCCCTCCTTTCAAGGATTGTGAGCTACTAAATAAAGGAAAATATGCATTAAAATTAACACGAGACGTGTCTTTCTGTCTCTTGTATATTTTAATCTTTATAGGGCCTCGCTAGGCCTCAATTTTTACATTTCTTTTCGCTTTAATCGCTTCCTATCTTTCACATCTTCCCTCCTTTGAAGGATTGTGAGCTCCTAAATAAAGGAAAATATGCATTAAAATTAACACGAGACGTGTGCTTTTGTCTCTTGTATATTTTAAGCTTTATAGGGCCTTACTAGGCCCTAATTCGTAAATTATTTAGCCATGATTTCCACCAACTATTTGATTAACTATAAACACCTAAATCAAAAAATATATTCACAAAATTAAGTTAGAACGTACTTTACAAGCTTTATAGGGCCTAGTAAGGCCCGAATCATATATACGTATTGGGATATATTCGAACGTAGGCATATTAAGATCCATTATGTCTCCTTTAGTTAATGCCTAGTATATTTTCGAGAACTTCGAAGGCCTGTTAAATACCTGCTTTAAGAAGGCCTTTTAATAAGCTTACTTATAATGTTAAATTAAGTAATTTGAACGAATTTTAGGCCCTAAAACTGGTGAAACATTAAAGAAACCTTTCATTCATTCATAAATTCCTTCAGCAACCTTCGGGCATTCGTTTCGCGTGTCAAAACCGGAATAAAGTTAACATTCACCCCTTCTTACTTATGCCCTTTATCATGTCTGTACACTTCACGTGACCTCACCCCTTATTCTTGAAAGGGATGACAGTGTACAAGGCTATAAAGTGCACCGTGCATGAACTGGAGCATCATAAACCTTCAATATAATGAAGTAAAATGAAGTATAGCGATACAGAAACATCATTATACCTTAAATTTCATTTTTAAAGGCCCAAATTATGGTATTCGGAAGCGAAAAATGAAGGACCTCGTACATTACGAATGATAAAATAACTTATACATTAAGGTTAAAAGGCGTTACAAGGCTTTAACGTAAAGAAGAATGCGAGGATCTTTCGAAGGGCCTTGTATGCATTTTAATGTTTAATATTTACGCCTTTAAAGGCCTTAAACTGTAAGCTTCTTGCATGTTACCTTGCGTGGAATGTATAGGGCCTTTTAGAGTAATGATCCTTCGAAGGGCCTGTTCGTATGATGTATTTAATTATATAGTCCTTCTGTCTGTTTAGGATTTAAGGCCTTAATTGATCCATACATACTAAAGTTTAACCTGTTTCTGCAGAGGTTCTTGCTATAAGAAGGCCCTACTACTTAAAATTTAGTGTAATTATTATAAGTTTAGGAATTTAAGCAGTATAGAAAGGGTCTTACGAGAAAACTTTCTTTAACATAAAAATGCCCTTAATTAGGGCTTAAATACACGAATATTCAGTTTATAGACACTTAAATAAAGGCCCTAAACGTTTATAAGGTTTTTATACATCTTATAATTTCATTAAACAGTGAAAGAATTAGGCACAGGCGATTTAAAATCGCTCGGTGTTAAGTTGTGTCAAAGGTCAACAACCCCAATTGAGCCAGTTGGGTAATAATAAAAGAAGAAAAAAGGGAGGGGGGACACGAAACAAACGATCATAAAACCATTCTACAAATAACAAAAATGGCCGACGGTAAACAAACCAGCTGTTGAACATTGTATATGGCCTTTGGGGTCGTGTCTGCCTCGCCCACACAACACACGATTGGGTGAGTTGAAGCCTTGTTAGTTGCGTCATCACATTGGCTGCTTGTCCAACATCAAAAACTGGTACAGGCGAGCTCATTCGCGCGATAACTTTCCAACACTATACATTATGTAGTCATACCGACCAATAGGCATTGTTGTTATTAATATTACTGTACTTAATAACCCCCGCATGGATCGTTGATAAAAGTAGAAATAATTGAAGAAAATTACCTATTTTATTCCCAGTGTAATTATTAAGTAACGTTAAAAAGGATATGCCAACGTTAAAATACGTTATTTAAGTGGAAATTCAACATGGCCGATGAATAAACAAACATGGCCGTCATCTTTACGTAATAGACTACGATATAGAATTTATTATTTATATTATTATTATTCCTTGTTTATTGGAAGTTAATAATACATATTTATATTCAAGAAATGTTTTTATTTATATTATTTTAAATGTGACGCCATTTTTATATTGGATTAAATAATTTTAAATTCACTGATTGCTTCTGCCATCTGCTGCCATTTATTGGAATTATAATATAACTGCGTAGTTTTGTTTTTAGGCCTAATTTATCAATTGTGTAAGTATTTTATTTAATTAAATTCTTAATTAATTATTTTTATAGTTAATTACAAGTTAAATACAGTTTTATTCGAGAATTTTTTGTAAATTATTTAATATAAAGTATTAAAAAAATTATAATTATTAATTTAATTAAGAGATGGCGCTTA